AGCCCACCAGACACTGTCCTGAGAGTTGGGGCTGAGAAGCTGTGCTTGGTTTCACAGCTGTAAGGGTCTGACCTTGGCATGTGGCCATTGAGAGTCTCACCTAAGACAGGCCCTGGGTCCGGCAGGGGGCAGGCTGCCTCTGGGCTCTGCCCAGTGCTGGGCTCTCCTGCTCCTCCCTGGGTGTTCAGGGTGGAGACTCTCCCCTAACCTGGGTGCTGAGGAGTCAGAGGCTCCAGCAGCACAGCCCAGTGCCTGTGCCTGTGGAATCTCCACCTCAGTCCCTAATTCCCCCTCCTCCCCACTTTCCCCATGTCAGCTTTGAGCTCAAATCATTCAGCAAATCTCATTGATCCAAAGAGGAGTTTCTGGAGGAGGAGAGCACACAGGGGTGACACATAGGGTTGGCTCCTACCTACCTAAGGAAGGCCACTGAGTACCCACGAACCAAGGGTGAGGTTTCAAGCATTTGGTATGTTCCCTCTCTCCACAAACATGCATGTGCACTCTCTCCCTCACATGCACACTGATGCAAACAAAGGAAAATTCATGGTATACACCTGACACACATGTGTGTATTACACACATGCCATCACTCACCTCACATCATCTACACCCAGGAGCACACATGTATGTTCACACATACCAGGTGGACTTTCAGTGCTCCCATGTACCTTCAGATGGACACGTGGCCATGTTCGTGTATGCACACACAGACCCACCCGGGTGCATGTAGTGAATGGCAAACGAACTCCTGTCCAGGGCTGCTCTGGGCGCCCTCCTGAGCCTGTGGAGAGTCTGCCCCCTGATCCCTTGTGGAAGGGTCACAGTGGGTCAGGGTGCAGCCTGGGCTCCTCACCAGCCCTTTGGGGCTGGAGCACAGCCCTCTCAGGAGCCTTGAAGGCTTCTACGCACGAACCCAGAAGTCAAAGGGATGGAAAATGAGCCCGGACAGCGTGGACCAGTGGTTGAGAGACGGCCTATGAACCAGGAGATCATGGTTTGATCCCTGGTCAGGGCATGAGCCTGGGCTGTGGGCTTGACCCTCAATAGGGGATGTGCAGGAGGCAGCCAATCAATGATTCTTTGTCATCACTGATGTTTCTATCTCTCTCTCCCTCTCCCTTCCTCTCTGAGATCAATAAAAATATATTAAAGCACACACACACACACACACACAGACATACACACACACATACACACATACATACAGGATGGAAAATGAAATAGAATGAGAACAT